AGGCTTCAGTCAGCAGGAGCTTTGGTCCGCTGATGGTTAACTGTGTGCCAGGCATCAGGCTCACTTGTGTTAACATATTTAATTCCATGAGGGAAGTCTTGTTATTTCCACTTTGCAGATGAGGCAGTCTGGGCACAAAGCTTAGGTAACTTCTCAAGGTCCTTTCCTGATAAGTGCAAGAACAGGGACTGGAATCCAGACAGTAGCTCTGACTCTACATAGAAGTAACGGGACTTTTCCCAAGCTCAGGCCTTCCCATGAATTAAAATGGAATTTGATGGGCTTGAAACATGGGCTTCTAAGAATAGTCTGATCAAGCAGGTCATCCCAATGCCACAGTGTGGTGAGGGGGAGGCGGAGGGTACAGGGCACGTACTTTGGGGATGTGGGTACTGCCTTCTATCAGATTCAGAGCCCCAAACTGCAGGGGCTCTACAAGCTGGGGCTCTGAATCTACACACAGACCATCTGAGATGTCGCCGCAGGAACTGCGGCTGCACAGGGTGTGTCCAGGTGAGCTCAACTGGGGTTGGCGATTAACTTCCTCAAAATGCCTCTGGGCCCTGAGGTTCTCCTTTGCAGCAGTATAAACAAAAAGAACTGAGGCTCTGCCCTGCAGAATCATCCCTGGGAAGGAAGCAGCAGCAGTCCAAGGCCTGCAACACCAAAGCTGGTCCAGGCATGGTGGGGTGCAATCCTCCATTCCCTACAAGTATGTGCCTACTTCGGAGCACATACAGTCAATGTGGCCTTGCTGAGCCTCAGGTTGCAGACCAGAGGCACTTGACCTTTGGCACCAATTTAACAATTATAATTAAACCAAACAGAGAGGAGGATGTGGCCTAAATCTGAACCCCTATATCACGAGGATGCCACTCTTTACAGAATAGGCTACCCAAGAGAGCGGCTTCATTCTTCGTGAACCTGCTGAGTCATGGGAACTGCTCTCCCATAATGGTACATTTCACCAATGACTCTAGGAAAAGCTGTCCCTTAAAGAGCCCGTGCCCTGCCCCATGACTCACAGAATCATCTCATTTAATCCTCACAACTGCCCAACAGGAATGCCATTATTATTTCTGTTTGGAGGAAACCGTAGCATAGAAACAAATGATTTATCCAAGGTCAGGTAGCTAACAAGAGCCAGAAGTTAAACCTAAAACTCAAAGTAAAATGGAAACAGAAGACTCTGAGCTGCTGCCGTTTATACCCAGCAGCACAAGGCACACTGGCATCGGGTCCAAACATTGGGCATCATCTGTGTCTGCCTGCAAAGCTACCAGTGGGGGACAGGACTGAAGGCGCTGGCAGTTCCATTAAGCGTGTTTCCACGGATGGCCATGGATGGTGCACAATCGGAACTTTAGGCAGGAGGAGTCATAGGCAGGTTTTGTTTCACACCTCAGCCAATGTCATATGTAAAACCTGCACTTCTGATCACTTTCCAGATCACCCGAGTACGAGAAGCCATCACTGAGAGGGAGAAGACTGATACACCAAATGAAATGGTCAGAAGATGAATAAAGCAGCACTTCACAAATTTGCTTCTGTGCTTTTTCCTCATGGGACCAATACCCAAAAAATTGGAAAACAGACATCGACTCCATGGTGTAGCTTTCCAAACGCCTTTAAAATTTAACCCATTGCTTCCTTACACTTTCGACGTTGCTGAGAGAGAAGGAAGCCTTAGCTCCACTTAAAGGGATGCAATTAGGATGGAAGGTGAGGGTGACCAGTAGCAAACATAGAACCAAGGAGGTCCTGGACCCCTGGTGCTTGGCCACACACTCTTCCCGCAGGAAGTGCTGGTGATGTGCTTCACGTAGGCCACCAGGCAGGCCAAATAAGAGAGAATTTGCCAAGAAACTCAATGCTGCAAGGAGGCAGAGAGGGAGACCTACGTTGTAGGACAAAAAGCAGAAGTTTCGCATTCTGGAATCAAGAGGTTAAAATACAAAACGATCAGAAGAAAAAGGTGGGTAGGCATGATTCCCCTCTCACAAAAAGTTGATAGTTGAGCTTTAAAAAAACAAAAAAGCTCCTATCAATCAGTCAGCTACCGATGAGAACACTTAGGATGTCCTTGAAAACAGAAGTGACCTTCTCAGGGCTGCCCAGACAGACACTTGTCATGTTCCTGAAAGGCAAGCCCACTGGGACCTCACACGGCTTGGGCTGGAGGAAGAGCTCTAGAGGAAATGACAGGATTTCTAGGCTAGCTGCACCCTCAGACTGGCTGTGCTAATTTGAGCAAGCAAGGTGACCCTGCCATGGGGCCCAGTAACCTTACTGATCAGAGGCAAGAGTTATCATTTTCTCCAAGGGCATAAGCCTTTCTTACAGGGCATAAGCCTCAAGGCTGCCCATGGGGCAACAGGGCTGCACGGCCACAGGGGCTACTACACATGCCACCAGGCCGTAGGGACTATGTAGCCCAGCTCCCTAGAGTCCTCTACATTTTCTTTTTACCTTGGAAAATACTCTTTAAAGTGAAAAAGGATTTTGCTTTGGCATGTTTACTCCAGGGGATTGTTTTGGTTTCACATTCACATTGGATACGCCTTTCTGGTTCTCTCTGGACAGGGTCAAGCTCTTTCACAAAAGTCAAACGTAACTTCCAGATGGAATGTCAGAGACACACACTCCTAGGTTGGAAGCTTCTTCCCTGGGTCCTGGGACATCCAGGATTTTGACTGTGTGACACATCATAAAGGAGAAGCAAAGGCTGGGAGTAAACGCCCTGCCACAGCCCTGGTGAGACCTGACGGTTCTTCCCTGGCTCCTAGATAGCTGTGTACACTGGGGTGTGCTCTCACCTCTGGAGTTCTGCCTCCTGCCGCAAAATAAGAGAGTGCCACACAGACTCTGCAACCTCCAGGTTTTCCTATATTCTATGACTTGGGGACCTCCCCCCTGCTCTACTCATTTGTACAAATATGTATTAACTATGGGGGTGCTATCCCCAAATTCGCTGTTCCTTCTATACTCTTTGGTGCCCAAGAGTTCCTCCCTATGGAAACACAATCAAAGACAACACTTAAAAACACATATCCCTGGCCGGGCACAGTTGCTCACGCCTGTAATCCCAGTAGGCTTAGGTAGGTAGATCACCTGAGATCAACAGTTCGAGACCATCCTGGCCAACACGGTGAAACCCCATCTCTACTAAAAATACAAAAAAAAAAAAAAAAAAATTAGCCTAGTGTAGTGGTGCGCACCTGTATTCCCAGCTACTCGGGAGGCTGAAGCAGGAGAATCGCTTAAACCAGTAAGCCAGAGGTTACAGTGGGCTGAGATTGCACCACTGTGCTCCAGCCTGGGGAACAAGCGCAATACCTCGTCTCAAAACAAAATAAAACACAGATTCCTGCGAGAGAGGTCATTTGCTGTCATCATGCCCTCTGGCAGACAAATGACTTTCTTAAGAGCTGACTTACTAGTGAATGCGGCCTTACTTCTGTTCCTTCCTGTCTGTAACTTTGGGACTTCACCATGCTGCACTTCAGGGCAGTCATCTATACAATGGACATGATGATACTTCCCCAATAGGGAGAGATACTTCCGTTAAACTTTAACCTTACGGTAAGAGGTCAACAAATACTACCTCTTACTTTCGTAGGTTCAGTTATGAAATCTCCAAGAAAGTTGGAACACAGAAGGGTAAAGAGGATACTTTCATCAGTATTCTGTTGGTGGTCAACATATATTCATCTTCCAAATGAGAATATTCAAAGAAGCACATAAGCCCATGTTATAAATTGAAAAGACCTTAGAGCCAATATAACATACAGGAGGAAACAGAAGGACGAGAAAGATGAGGCTGGTGGAGGGAGGGTGGAGTCAGATGAAGGACCAGACCAAGATCACACAGGGTATGAAAGGCAAACCAGGGTACATCTCCAGGCTCCAGCGGCAGAGGCATGTGAGCTGAAGAGGAAAGGTAAGTGCGGCTCCACACTGCAGATCTTCCAACAGCTGCCCCTTCTCCGTTTGTTAATAAAGGTAAAGGTGTCCACAAGCAAAGATCAGGATATGAGCTGGTCTCCATGTTATGTGGTGCCTCCTGAACAATTCTGGAACTACGGGTGAGCAATGAATGTAGATGTGTTGCTTCCGTCCCTCTAAAACTCATATTCTTAAAAAGAAAAAAAAGTGCTTGAAGGAGTTCTTATATTCAAAATTGGCTGCGAAAGAAAGCAGGGCCCTAGCAGGGTCTGCTAAATGGAAGGTAATGAGTTAATGGCATAACCTAGGTGCCTGCATCCTGTCCAGCTGTCTCTTCAAATAACCAAGACCTCTGCAGAGCCATGCATTTGCAGCAGCAGTTTCCTCACCTGGAACGTGGTCTTCCCCACATTGCCTGTAATACAGTCATCTTTCGAGTCTTGGCTCCAAAATCACCACTCCTATAAAACCTTCCTTGATTCTCCAAGTCCTAGGCAGAACTGACGTATCCCCACCACCCCAGTTCTCATCCCACCCAGCACAGACCTCTATTCTGAGCTGGTAACATTTCCTTTATAGGTCATTGGCTATCTAATTCATCTAGATGTTAATAGTACTGAGAATTGTGACTAATACATAATATATCTTAGGTAACAGCTACAGAATTAGTGCAGGAATAAATGAATTATAAATGACTGAACCTAGGTGCTGGGTGTTCTGCAGGTAGAATTTTCAAAGCCCTGCCTTTACATTGAACATGTGGCCAAGGTTTGCAGCCACCTTTGGAATTCATGACACCTAATCATACGTGTTCATTGGGTCACAGAAGAGCCTGGTCCCTGCCCCTTGAGCACTGGATGACACCTTTAGAAGAGTAGCTATTTGTTTTCCAAGAACACTTGAAAACTGCAATATTCACTTCCTTTTGCCCTCCTAAGATTCCTTCCCCTCACCTGGACCACAGTTAAAAAATGTCCATGCAAGGCTTTTCTAGCAAGCTGTTGTTAGGAGCAGTCCATCACAGTACCCAGGTCTGGATAGGAATTGGGACCTACCTTTCTTCATCCTTAAAGATGAATTTCCGCAGCTTGAGGTCCCGCAGCACCAGCCCCCCGTCGTGGCAGTGGGCGACTGCCGAGGCAATCTGGTAGAACAGTCTGGCTGCCTCCTCCTCTCTCAGCTTCTTGCAGGTGCGGACGAAGGAATGCATGTCCCCATAGCTTCGCTCAAAGAACACATAGGCTTTGGTCTCACCCAGGAGAATTTCAGTGATTTGGTTGATGTTACTGTGAGCAGACAGGCAGAAGCATGGTGCCAGGGATTCCTGGTAGCAGCTGATCTCGAACACCTACGACAGGATTAGGAGTAGGACCAGAGTCAGAGGTGTCTCGTGTACAACCACAACACAGAATCCTGCACCTCCCACAGGCATGGGCTTTTGAGATGACAGAAGATATGCTGAACTCGGACCCAGACCATATTGGTCCTGCCTCCTACTAGCTGTGTGGCGCTGAACAAGTCACTTGACCTCTCTGAGCCTCCAAATCTTTATGTATAACCTGGGTAACTGCTACCTGACTCACAGTGTGAGGAGGATTACATGAGAAGATGAAGGTGATAGTGCTTTGTAAATTGTAATACAGTACCCAAATAGTAAGTTTTATTATTTTTCTCTCTAGCCCAATTGCATGTTTATAGAACTAAGGTAAAATTGGAGAGAAAGTGACCTCAAATGACATCAACAACACTGTACTTCAAAAACAAAAAAAAAAGAAAAAAAAAGCACATAGGCATTGTATAGCATGTGAGCAATTAAGAGATTAAATAGCTAGATGATGCCGAATGGTCTCTAATTCAACACTTTCATTTTACAGGTATAGAAACTGAGGCTCAGAGAATGAGCCAAAACTCAAGCCCCCAGTGGCAGAGGCAGGAATACAATACAATCCTTCTTAATAGGGAAATAGACTTGCTTCTTCCTCCCTTCCCTCCACAGATATCTAACTCAATGAACCAGTTATGCAACGATTTTCTATGAATCAAAATTAGCCTGTGAAATGCCAACTCACTGCGGGGTTGCTTAAAAAGAAAAGGCACCATCAATACCTTTTGAAACAGACCTCACAGAAATTAACACTACAGAGAATTTTTGAGGTTATTAAAAAAAAGAGCTTTCATTCATTTCAAGACCTCCACTAAATCAGGAATACAAGTCCCTGAGTTTGGAATGTGTTTTTTCTATCTGCCTGGGATGTGGGTAAGATGAATCTATTCAGTGTGTGCGTGAACCAGGGGCATGCGTGGGTGAGCTTCGCTGGAAAGCATCTGAGGCAGGAACGCCCTGACGATACACTGCATGCTATCAGCACACAATCATTCAGCTGCCTAAATCGCTTTTTCACCAGCTAGAGCATAGTTTCTTTGATCATCATTTTGCAGTGTGGTGAGAAAAACGCTGGCCTGGAAATCAGCAACCTTGAGGCACTAATCCTGGTCCTGCCACCAATAATCTGGATGAGATGGATAAAGAGCTTAGGGTTACAGGACCTCCCTCCTCTTCATGAAATGAAGATGTTGATTTAGAAGAGTGTTAACCTTTTTGGGGGTTCTGATGTCACATAAAATCTGATAAAAGCTCTGTTCCCTCTTAGCTGATGATGCCCATTCTCAAACGCATGCACAATTCTGGATTCAGTTTAAGGGGATTCACAGGCTTTCTGAAGCCCATCCAAGGCCACAGACTGCTATTTAAGAATCCATGAGTTAAGTTGCTCTAAGCTTCAAAAAATTGAAACAAAATCTGTGAGTCAAACAGGGATGTAAAACCTCAAGAGAGTTGGTGCTAACCCGGCCGAGGAAGCAGAGTTAACAGTAATGTTGTGAATGAACCATAATGAGGCATCTCAGAAAAGCGGCACAGCTGCTGCCACTATAACCTAGAATTTAAGAAAGAATACTGCAACATCTCCAGAGACCACAAATCACACAGTGATACTGTCAAATGATGACCTAAGAGCAGTGACCTCAGAGGCCTGTTCAATTAGGAATCTGAAATGCTTGAATCAACTCTAACATCCCACTGCAGGCGACAGAAACCTAGGGAAGCCTCAAAAATTTCAAGGAGTAATAAGCTTTGCAGTGGCCAACGTAAACACTGCGTTATATAATGAGGATGATGTGCTCTGAAATACCATGTCGCAGCTTCTGCTGCCAGTGCTCACAGAGTTATGATTATATATAGTCTACTTCCTGTTTCCAGGTGCATTTACAAAACATAAAAGGTGACTTTTGCTCAGTACTTTTAGTCTATTATTCTGCTCCACTGCTGAAAACCTGAATGGAGACAGAATTAAAAAAATAATAATAACATATTTGTGGCATCTTCAAATGTAGCCATATCTTTTGTAGAAGAGACCAAATTCCAAGATGGTGGACAGAATATGAAAAATAAAATGAATGCTTCTGTTTTCCCACATGAGAAGAAGCCAAACTTTTATTCGTAGCTATCAGAGGCATTTAGGGGCTTGGACTGATATTTAAACCATCATCTTCAAGTGTAAAATCAAGCCACAAGCTTGGATAGCAGCTTCTTCACATGTTTAATTTGGAGCCTTGGTTATGTAATGTGACAGTTCAGATAAGGCAGTAAGATGAGGCCATCATTAATAACATTTGCAAAAAAAAAAAAAAAAGAAAAGAAAAGAAAGAAAGCACCCATTCTGCCAAGATAGTAACTGTCAGTCTGCACAGTAGTTACCAGTATTTCCATGAAAACACACAGCTAAAGGCTCCTTCATTCATTTGTCTAGCAAAAGTAGGCACATGGAGACAATAAGCAGGCTTGAAATGACTCTGGAATGTCTATTCCTCCAAATAGTGTCCTATAGAATTCTCTACGCAGCCCTCTATAATAAATAGCATCTTTACATTTGATCTGTTTTTGCAAAGAATTTTTTTCATTGGTCAACACACAGCTAGGAAACATGAACCTTCTATTCTAAGACATCATAAGGAACTGATTCAATGTATAGATTTCACTGAGCCCTAAAGTAAGCTAACAGACCACAGCATATATATCTGCCAGGGCAGTTCATGGAAGCAGCCTTATAAAACTCACTTGGAGCTTCTTAGGATATATACAACTAGGCTTGCCTAAGAAGTCACCCACATCATCTTTGGTAAAAAGTCAGGAAAACAGAAGCTGCTGTGTCTTAAAGGGATGACCTCTGTCAAGCAGAACAATGACACTGCACTTAAATCCACTTGCAGCCACACTGTAACTAGTGAAGGGCTGATTCAATCTTTGCAATAACTAAACCAGCAGATTAAGTCCAATTTTAGGCCAGAGTGCAAGTCTGCAGATGACACTGTAAGCTCAGCCCAAAGTAAAATACGTCTTGAAAAATCTGGAGAAAGAAAGAGCAGAGGCCAGAATCACCTCTGATTTTAAACAAAGAAGTAACCGCCAGATGCCCCTGCAGAATTTGGCTACAGAGTCCCTATACTTAAAAGCATTTCCAGCCTTTGAAAAATATTAAAATGCTGTACTGAAGCTGAGCAAAAGGAATGAAAATATTCACTGCTGGGTGATTGTGCATATTTCACACAAGAGTGGCAGTTCTGTGGAATTCATTCATTTCAAAGGATGACTATCCTATTGTGCAATCTTGCAGGACTTTTGAGAATTCAATCCAGCTACTGAATTTTGGTTAACTGGGCACAGTGGCTCTGGGTCTCAATAACTTAGAGAAGATGCAAAATGCCAAATGCTGAGTACAAGCAAAGGCCAACATTTAAAGAGTCTCCGATTTCCCCCTAAGGTCTGAACTGAACAATCGCAAAACTGTCTAGAGATCTCTACTAAATCCAAATTTTACAATGAAATACTCCAGTCCACTATGAATTAAGGCAAGTCCACAAAGTAGACCGTGGTGAATGGCAAAAGTGTGATGTGTTATTTGTGGCACAACCGTGGCCAGTGCCCATTTCGAAGGCAGAATGGATCCCCTACTCCCCACTCTCCCCTTCCCTCGCCCCCACCACCCCGCAAAACAACAGTGAGCAAATCTAAAATTAAGTGACAATGAATTCTTGGTCTACGTCCAATCCTGGGTAGTAGTATGCTCTATTGTAATTATTTTCTTTCTTGCAATTATTTCCCCCTCATCCACTTGTCTGGGGCCCGGTGGGTGCACACAAAGATACACAGACACACATGTATATTAAACCAGTCACTGTTCCGGGTTAAAGACACAAAAAAGAAACTGAAGTGTCCATCTCGGTGTTAGCACTGCAGATCCCCAGGGCTGCAAACGGGACCCTCTTAACCTTACAGGCAAAGGTGTGTGTTCAGCGGGGAACGGAAGAGGGGGATGAGCAGGCAGCAAAGTCTAGAGATGAGGAGAGAGACCAAGACCAGAGAGAAAGACTCAAAGCTTTCACTATTCACCAGAAAGTGCGCCGGCTTTGATTTCCACCCCAACCCTCCATTCAAGGCTCCAGGCTGAAGAAAGGTCTTTGTAAACTCCTTCCCTGCCCTGGGCCCCTGGGATCAGCAGGAGGGGGCACCTTTGTGTGTCTGTTTTAAAGGGCACCTTCGGAACAAAGGTTTAACACCTGCCCGCTGCTAAGAACAATGGCTGCGAAAGAAACGAAGTCATCACTCCTAAAATTACCGGGGGATTCCCTAATCCTTGTTGGAAGAGGAGGGTACTAGACACGGGAAGAAATCCCCCCGGGCAGCGAGACGCGGCCTCGCGCAGAGAGCTGCTCCTGGAGCCTCCAGAGCACGCGTGTCCGTGGCCCCCGCGCAGTCCCGCCGCCCTCCCCTCCGCGGGCTCTCCCCGAAACGCCCCCGCTGCAGCCCGCCCCATTGTCTGAAACGGTCTAAAAACTTCGCAACTTACGGAACCCGAGCAAATAAATAAGTAAACCCATTTAACATGGCCACGATAATTAATCCCACGAATCTCCCTCTCCCAGACTCCAGGGCCTGGCGCCCTCCCGCCCCCTCCAGCCCCTTCCAAAGACAAAAAGCAACCCCCCGGCCCTTTACCTTGCACACCAGCTCCTCTCCGCTGTGCAGATGCACGGCACGAAAAACGTGGTCTCCCTCCAGAGGTTCCAACAATAAGTATTTCCCGATGCATGAAACGCAATGCGACAAGTTCGGAGTCTCGGGCGGGCTCGGGGAGCCGAGGTTCGGGCTGAAACTCTGGCTGGGCTCAGCGGACCTTATAGACGACAACTCTTCGAAATCCTGGGTTTTGTTCCGCGATCTCCCATATCTCGCTATTGTGATGGGGGTAGACCTGTGTATGTTCATGAGTGTGAGGATCGCACACGACAAACAAACAAAAAAAACCCGCTGGAGAGATGAGTCCCGGCGAGTGCGGCTGCAGGCGCCTCGGTGCCACTGGTTTTAAAAAGGATCGAGAGGGGAGGGGGTAGAAGAGGGGCTGCGCGGAGAAGAGTTAGAAGCACCCAACTGGGCGCCGCCGCGGGACACCTCGTCTGCTCCGAGCCTGGCTCCCGGGGGTCCAGGGTCGGCAGGCAACTCGGGTCCTTTTGTTACCCCAAAGCAGCCGGGGAGGTGCAGAATCGCCGCACTTTTAGTTTCTCTGTGTGTGTGTCCCCAGCGTGGGTCTGGATGAGTAACCGGGCTGCGAAGGTGCGGAGCTGCAGCGCTCCGGCTCCCGACGCTACCCGCAGGCCGACTTCCGAATCGCAGACGGGGCGGAGGAGCCCGCGGGAGTTTGTGCAGTCTTCGGGGCGCGCACGGCGGCGGCTCGGTCCCAACGCGTTGGAAACCAAACAAAAAGAGAAAGGAAACAAGCACTGGTCTGCCGGCTGGCGACGCACGGCAGCCAGAATCCGCGCTGCACCCCCTTTTTTGGTGGAAAGGGTGGGGGGCGTGGAAGGGGGGGTGCGGGAGAGGGCAGTTACCTACGTTTTAACTGTAGATGGCGTCTGAGGCTTTTCCAAGATTCCAAGCTCTCCAAAAATTAAACAAACAAACAAAAAAAAGAAAAATAGCGAGGGAGCATTTAACTTGGAGCGGTCAGCGCTGCCAACAAAAGATGCCAAAAGCTGGGCGAAGAGTTGCGGCGCCGGCTGCGCGCAGGTAGCGACCGCGACAAAGCCCTGGGCTCGGCCCGCCGCGCGGAGGTCAGCACCGGCTCCTGCCGCGGCCGCTCGCTCGCGTCCGGGGTCTTCCTCCAAGCGCAGCCAGACGTGCAGGCGAGAACGAGGACAGATCGGCGGTCTCCGCTGTCGCCAGCACGAGCTCGCGGGGTCCTGCGGGAGCTGCAAGAGGGGCTGCGTCCCCGACGCTTCCAACGCGCGGCAATCCGCTGCTCCTCTCCGCTGGAGAACTGGATCTCGTCTGGAAGAATTCGCAACCACTCCGTCTTTTTCTACCCCGAGCCCAAATTTGCCCGGCGGGGTTTGTTTTGGAGAAAATTGACGGCTCGTCTCCTCCTTCTTTGATTTCTTGCTTGTCCCCCCAGAGAAAAGCGAGGACCGTGTATTTAAAAATTAAAGGGGACGGCCGACGGTGCCCGAGGCCAATCCCCGCGCTCAGCACGCCCGCATCCCCCGGCGAGGCGGTATTAATAGTTACTTACGTGGCCGGGGATCTCGGAGCGAGCGGGGCCGTGTGTGCGCGTGTGCGCGCGCGCGCCTCGCTCGCGCTTGGTCTCCCCATTCAATGTCACCGACACATTTCCACGGAGCCTCCGCCCCCCCGCCGCCCCCGCGACTGGCTCGGCCCAGAGCCGGCCCCGCCCCGCCCCCGCCCGGGCCCCCCTCATTGCGCCGGCCGCCCATCAATCAGCCCCGCCGCTGCCAGTCCTCGGGCGGCTCCCCGCGCCGCTGCCATTGCAGCTCCGGGCCGGGGGCGCCAGCACCGGCCTCGCAGCTCCGTGACTCGGCCGGGGAGGTAAACAAAGTGAAATATCCTTCCGCGGCCCGGGGCCCTGGGCGCTGCACTCCGGGTCCGGACTGCGCGCCCTGCTGCCGGCGGCTGGGCCGGGGTTACCGGCGGCGACTCCTGGGCCGTTCCCCCAAAGCTACTCCGGCGGCGCCGGCCCCAGCTCTTCGTAGCTCCTTCATCCTCCTTGTGCTTTTCCCCAGAAAGCCAGGCAGGCTCTGAGCTTCGGACCCCAGGCTCAGAGGTGGCCCAGAACGAGGAGCTGCTCTCTGTTTTGGAAGAATGTGCTTGCATCGGTATTGCTGCCTGGAGTTTCGAGAATTTTTTCGTAGTTATCTCTCCGACATCCTTCTCTCCATTTAAAAGGAAATCCATTGCTTGCTTTTAGTTGGTGACACCGCCTGCCCCCAACCCCCACAACCTGGGCTTGGATTTCTAATATTTTCAGCAGAAGAGGAGCTGAAGGCATCTTTTGACTCAGGTCAAATTTAATCACGAATTCTTCCCTTCCCAGGGCACTGCCCGGAGGGCCTTGGAGCCCAAGCTAGACAAAACCTTGCACCCACACCTCCAGGGAGCGCTGTTGGCTCCCATCCAGGGTGCTGGGCATCCTGAGCCCTCTTTGTTAACCAGGTGAAGGCTACAGTTTTCTGCGCCCCACTCCCGACCCCGTCCCGCTCCCCGAATTATTCTTAACTTCCTTGGGAGATTGCAGTCCGCTGGCTTGGACAGGAACACAGGAGGACAGGGCGTCGAACTCAGAGGCTTCAAACGCCAGCCATGATCTAAGATATCCCGGTGAACAAGAAGCAATCTAGTAGAGGACAAACTTAAAAAAAAAAAAATAATAATGCCAAGGAACTGAGAGAGGGGACTTGGAGCGACTCCTGGAGCCCTCTGAGCTTTTGCAAGGGTGTAGTGTAATTTTCACTGGAGGAGGGGACTAAATTATTTATATTGCCCACGGTGGGACACTTTCAGTAAAAGAAGGGAGCTATTTATAATTATGTCCACTTGGGACAACAGAGTCCCTCTAATGATCAGGAGTCCTGGGAAGGTGGCCAGAGATGGAGAAGACACTGACTTTAAAGCTGCCACCCAGCAGCACAGAGTTGAGAGGAAGGTTAGAAAGTGGCCCGTGCCTTCTAGCACATCTCACCATCCTACTCCCCAAAAACCTGCCTGGGACTCAATCTCAGATCCCAGAGGAATAGATCTATTTCCCTAGGCGATCACCATGACCACTGACGGAGCAGGGCCCCCTAATCCAGTCTTAACCCAGGAAGACACTTGGCCTGTGTCAGGGACAGACTTGAAGCAACCTCTGCTGTTGAGTCAGAAAGAGAGGTGCCTGGCCTTTTCTATGCAGTGGCCAAGAGAGTTTATAATAATTGGGGTTAGGAGACCTGTGTTCTAGCCCTGGCTGGGACTCCGATTTCAAATGGAAATTGAGTGAAGACTTTGTTTTTTCTCCCTAGGTCCCTGTTTCTTCATCTGTAAGATGAGAAGCATAACACCCGCCCTGCTCACCTCACATGGTTGCTTTAGAATTATATTTTCAATTCCAGGAAATATGAAGGCTTACTATAAGCCGGGCCCTGTGCTGAATGTTAGGGATCCAAGTATGAGTAAGATCTGGTTTCTGACACCCAAGAGCACAGGGTCTAGCCCCGCAGAAAGACTGGGAAACAAATAATTTCATTGTGTAACAATGTGGCAATTAGAATATCAAGGCCTCAAGGGAGAATGGAGGAAGGAATGACTTTTCCTGAACCTCAGGGAGTTTTCCCAGAAAATGTGATTTTTATTACCTTAAACTAATCCAGAGCAAATATTTATTGAAACCTACTATGTGCCAGATACTGGATATGAAGATACAATGATTTAAAAAAATATATTTCCTGTCTTCATAGACCTTGAAGTAGTCCTATGAGTCATAAAATAAAATGAATAAGAGCTTGTTGTTGGCATTTCAGGCAGAGGGAAGGAATGTGGAAAAGCAAAGGAGTGGGATGTTCTGAAATTTCTAGTAATGGCACCATGTTCCAGCAGTGGCAGCTGGGGCAGTGGCCAGGCATGTGGCTGGCAAAGTGGATTGATTTGGATTTAGATTGGGAAGGGGTTGATAGATACAACTAGCAACAGTGGTCTTCCTAGTAGAGGGGATGGAGAATCAAGAGTGACACTGGGAAGTGGCATGGTTGTTTGCAGGATTTAGAAAGATCCTGCTGAGATCACAGGGAGCAGATACCACTGGGCTTCCAAAGAAAGAGAGAGCAGGAATCGCATAAACCTCTAGTGATGCTGTACATGGTTCCTAGTGAATTTATGACTTCTGATGAAATTATACAGTGACCATTCTCCTACCTGTCCTTGAAGGTCAAATTCATGGCTAAGTGCTACGTTTGTTGATTAAATTCATGGAGCTATTGCAGTACAGGATAAATTAGATAATTTATATCAAGTGCCTTAAAATATTTTTTATGTCTGTTAACTCAGTAATTCTTATCAAATTGGAAGATAAAAGAAAAAGCAGGTAGTAGGAAGATCTGGGTGGGGATCTTTATTCATTCACTTTTTAGCCATATGAATTTAGTCAAATTTAGAATATTTTATCTATAAAGTGAAATTACAGTGGAAATTTTGCCTTAACACATACCAATTATGGAAGATGTGTATAAAGCACCTGGCTCGATGTCTTGCCTATAATAAAAATTCAATGAACAACCATTATTATTATTGTTGTTGTTGGAATGCATCCACAGAAAGCAATCCAAGGTGAAATAATAGTAATAGATAATATGTTTACAGTATCAGCAAAGACCTGTGGGAGTTGTTAAACACACAGTTACAGGATTGACTCTATACAGTATGTGACAGTAATAAAATATGTGCTGGTTATAAAAGGATTATATAATTACAAGGGGATATATTTAAACCAAACTACTCTGTAGTGGGACAAATCCAGTTGTCTTGAGTTAGTAGCATGTTGTGCATGTTTTCTAGAACATTCTTTATTCCGAAATATATGTAGCTGCTCCTTCATTCACTTCATTGCTTATTAGTTCATTCATTTAGGAAACACACAGTGGGCATCTGCTAAATGTGAAGCCCTATACTAAGTGCTGTGTTTGTTGATCAAGTAATAACAAATGGCTTTTAAGGACTCATAAGACTACTATATCACTTTAAGGCCTTTACTGTGTGTGACAACATTTCTCCTGTTTTAACTCTGACAGCAAGTAATGTTTAGACTCAAAACTGTGTGACAAGTTTCTAGGATAAGTTGTAGAGAATTCCACCTCATACTGATGTGCATAAAGACTGTGGTCTGCTCAACTCCAGAACATTCCATTCTCATTGAGAGCTCTGTGAATGAAACCCTGAAGTTGTGTAAAATGCAGTTGTCTTGGTCTGTTTGGGCTGCTATAATAAAATAATATGCGCTGGTTGTTCATAAACAACAGAAATGTATTTCTCACAGTTCTGGAGGCTGGATAGTCCAATACAAGGCATCGGCCCATTTCGTGTCTGGTAAGGGCCAGAATCCTGGTTCATAGATGGTGCCTCCATGCTGTCCTCATATGGTGGAAGAGGCAGGACATCTTTCTGGGGCCTCATTTTAAGGACACTGATCATCTTACTGGAGTCTCTACCCTCATGACCTTATCACCTTGCAAAGACCTTACCTCTTAATACCATCACATTGGTGTTTATATTTCAACATGTGAATTTGGGGGGACACAAACATTCTGACCAAGCAGCTATTAGGGCCTTAGACATAAACCCATTGGCCTGAAATTCAAGAACTTCCCAACGACTTCATCTCTCACTCTCAGTTGCATCTGCTCATCACCCCAAGGACTCCAGGCTCCTACTTTTGGGCTTATGACTTAGATCATATCCTCCTCCATATTTGGTGCCTCTATGTTTCCCTGGAATATTTTCCAGAACGTTCCCTTCACCTGGCTGCACTCCCTCAGCTCAAGGTTACATTCCCTACTTCTCTCATTTGGCTTTGTGGATGTCTCAGGTTTTAAATGACATGTTCAAAATCCAGGTGACATGTCTGTGCTTGACCAGTAATAAGGAGGTTTATGGTGTTAATGCCTGAACTCCAATCTAGATACTTCTGATGATGGAATCTACAGATTGCTTAGTGTCAGAGTTAGTAGAGGTAGCCAAGAAAATAAGTACTCCCACTTACTGCTTCATGCAAGATTTAACCAATCAATGCATTGGAAACTCAATCAGGATCCATCCTGATCTGTAATGTTTTAGGAGGTGCCATATCTTAAACTGAGTTATTCACCATTGTCTTGGTTCTACTGTTAGTGACACATTACTACTGTTAGTGACACATTACTTTGCATTCAACTTCGTGTTCCCTTACTGCCTTCTTTGGATGTTCTGCTAGCTCTGTAAAGGGGTTCTGTCATCCACTTGTGCAGAGAAGAAGGAAGAGGTTCAGGGAAGAGGATGCATGCCTTCACAGCTGCAGCCACTGGTCCACACGACCCACATGATCCTTCGCTTTGCAGATAGTCGTGCTGCTTAGCTGCATTTGGGGTGGTAATGAGGTCACTGGGTTGCTTCTATGATTGGCTCATGTTAACTAGATTAGCTCCTTGTCATAAATTGCCCCATTAGGTTGGGAATATTCCCTGTTACTAACTTTAATAATAGTTTCATTTTAATTATGCCTTTTGAATGCTAGACCAGCCACTTTGCTTCTTTCTAGTTCTTATACAACCCTTCAAATTATTACTCCACTTTATGGATGAAGGCAACAGGACCCAGAGAGACTAATTAATTTATTTCATGGTAGCCCACTACTCAATGGCCCTGGAGGTCATGTGTGTGTGTGTGTGTGTGTGTGTGTGTGTGTGCACGCGTGCACATGTATGTGTGTATTGAGAAGAAATGGGGCAGGAGAATAAGTTTATTCTGAAACTATATATATATATATGTATTACTATATCACATTACTTGTCATTAGGCTTTCTAGAGTTGACTGAACTCTTGGATTGAATGGCCCACGTGAAATGCTTTCATAATGGTGATTTCCGATCTCAATTGTTTTAACAGCTCATGTTGGAGAAACAGCTACTTATTTACAAGGTGCTTCTTAGTAGTTCCTATTAAAAAGTCACCTTTTAGATGTTGCCTTTTTGTGCAGATATACGTTCCTGCTTTGCAATGGTTAATGTTGTATTTACATGAAATTCTATACACAGGGCCCCAATGCATGATCCAAAAATTGTCTTTGATTTAGGGTGCTGTTTGGACACAGAACGTAACAGAGGAGGAAAAGGGACGAAAGGAGAAAGTCAAGGGAAGACAACAGAGTAGCAGTAAGGAGAAGTGTATCATACAGAGATCGAAGGATTTTCCGTGCGAATGATGCTTGCTTACTTTACCATGGCTAGGTGGAGGATGTGCTTTGTCACTGAGAAAAGACTAGTGTTTAAATACAGAAGAAATAACAATGTTCCAACCATTTTTTTCTTTTTTTTGATTTTTAAAAATTATTGTTATACTTTTAAGTTCTGGGGTACATGTGCAGAACGTGCAGGTTTGTTACATAGGTATACATGTGCCATGGTGGTTTGTTGCACCCATCAACCCGACTTTCTAGACCCTGGTTTTGTAATTCTTCTTCTCATATAGGAAAATAGCTGTTGAGTGCTCACAAGTGAAATGAGACACAAGAGAATTGTGTTGTTGTTCTTAAATTAGAGTAGGGTGGGAAACCCAGCATATGGAAATTTTCTGAGTGTTGCAAATTGTCTACCGTCCTGTTAAGTATTGCTGAACAGCTAATAAAGAAAAGTAAAAACAGGTAAAATGAAACAGCTAGTCCAGGAAGTGCTGCGAATTTACATATTATGTAGAGTGCTAAGTTACTGTAAATGATTCCATTTTAAGGGTGTTCTGGTAAGTCTAGTGCATGTTCCCACACCTAGCACACAGACCTCAAAGGAGCAGACAGACCTGGGTCCAGATTGCCCCTGGTTTCACAAGCTTGAGAGGCCCTGACCATCCTTGCTCTTGGGTGGGATGGAGATAATAATACCTTCCTTATGAAGAAAATAGGCGAAATCAAATTATCACTTAACATTCTCTTCAGCTTTTACAATATAACTTTAGTGTGGGAAAATTAGGCATGTAACAAGTAGACCAATATCTGAACACCGATGTGTTGAGATTCCATCCCATTTGGGCACCAATCAATCATCAACTTGGCCTTGGATGACCCTGAGAACTCAGATTAAGGTGTATAAGAATTAATATGTGTAACAGCCTTGCCAATTTAACAAGCACCCTTATGCATTTTATCTTATTTAATCCAGACAACAGCACCTTAAAAGAGACTTTGTTATTGGCCTCAGTAGAAGCAGCCTGAGACTCG